CTCCTCCTCCTCCTCCTCCTCCTCCTCCTCCTCCTCCTCCTCCTCCTTCTCCCTTCTCCTTCTTCCTTTTTGGTTTCTGGTTTTTGGTTTTTCAAGTCAGGGTTTCTCTGTGTAGCCTCAGCTGTCCTAGACTCACTTTGTAGACCAGGCTGACCTCAAACTCACAGAGATCCGCTTGTCTCTGCCTCCCTGAGTGCTGGGATTACAGATGTGCACCACTGCACCTGGTTTCATTGTAAACTTTTTTCAAAATCTTTTCTGGTTACAGTTAGAACACACATTTTGACCAATCAGTCAATAAATGCTACATCACCTAAATGTTTAGGGCCATGGGTATGAACAATAAGCTTCAGGGTAGATTTGATTCCCCATCCTTGACTTCTTTTTCTCCCAAATTCTCCATATCTGTACCAAGTCTACCTGAAAATCTGTGACACCTCAGATCAGGACTTATCTCAGCCACAAACTCTTCTTTGTTTCTTTCTCTCTCTCTCTCTCTCTCTATCTTTCTCTCTCTCTTCCTTCCTTCCTTCCTTCCTTCCTTCCTTCCTTCCTTCCTTTCTTTCTTTCTTTCTTTCTTTCTTTCTTTCTTTCTTTCTTTCTTTCTTTCTTTCTTTCTTTCTTTCATCATGGCAGTAAGGATACTTTTATTACATTTCTTTTTTGAAACCAGAATGACATTTGGAAAAACTCACCCAACCTTTCGTAGTTCTTCTCCCCGCAACAATTGAAAATGACCCTGAAATAATAAACTAGAAATAAGAGGTGGAAATCCAGGTTAAAATACTTTATACATTATAGGAATTATAACATATTGAAACTTACTCCTAAAGTTGATATATATGTGAAACATACCATCTTAAAAGGACCATAAAAGTTAGCAAAGTCCCCTCCTGCTTCCAAGAAACCAAAAACGTTCTACCATAATTCTCTGGTATATATCATCAATGTTTTAAATTCTTGACAATTTCATGCATGTATATATTGAATGATGGTTATTTTGCTTCCCCACCCCATTATCCTCTCTCATTTCCCCTCTCTGACTGAAGCTCTTTGTCCCAATAATTTTTAAATACAAACACACACACACACACACCACACACACACACACAAAGGGGAGGAATGAAAGAGGGTAGTGAGGGAGGAGATATAAGCACAGCATAGTACATACTAATATTTTATTGCTTATTTTAAAAAACAAACAAAAGAGATAAGAACACTCTAATAAATAAATGATAAAAAAATAAATTCAAAAACAATGTTATGCTACACCCAATTATAGCATAAGATATGCAACTCACCATCAGAGACCCCCAAATCGGGTACCCTATGAACACTGAAATAGGGATTGGGTGATCAAATGGCACAGAAGCGATTATCATTGTGGTTCCTATGGCAAAGTTCATGAGGGCAATCACAATCTGCACAACCTAGAGAGGACAGCAAAGAAATAAGAACAGATCGTTTACCACAAATGTGTGCCCAGGTCACCACTTACACAGCCACTAAGTTATTGTCATTCTCTATCTCTGATACACTAGGATGAAGTTCCAGATAATCACCTCTTGTTTTTGGTTTTTCTTTTGTTTTGCCCACATAACTGTGGATCTAATAACCTATCAAAGTTTCCCAGGAAAGATACTATCATTATGCTAATAATTTTACAGCTAGGAGGGATAGTCCCAACCCTGCCCCAAGGTGCATTTCCTGATACTCAGGACGCTACTTCCACAGCTGCTCAGTTTAGTCGCATGTTCGGACAAGAGTGACTCAGGGATTAGTAACTAATTACTCTGGAAAGAAGTAACTTGAAGAAATGTAATTAGTAATAGAGTGAAGAAAGGGAAGAGTCAGTAGAGCATTGTCTTGGGATCTGGGACCTGAGTAAAGAAGTTTTAATAAAGTGCCCTAAAAAATGGGAGAGTCTAGGGCTGGAGAGACCACTCAGCAGTCAAGGGTCCATATTGCTCCTGCAGAAGGCCAGAGTTCTGTTCCCAGCACCCACATCTGAAGACTCATAACTACCAGTAACTCTGAGATGCTTTCTTCTGGAACACACACACACACAATAAATCTTTTTAAAATACGGCATTATATAACAAATAGTCTCAAGCCAGGTACGGTGGGGCACGCCTGTACTCCCAGCACTCAGGGAGGCAGAGGCAGGAGGATTTCTGTGAGTTCAAGGCCAGGCTGGTCCACAAAGTTAATTTCAGGACAGCCAGGGTTGTTACACAGAAAAACCTTGTCTCTAAAAACCAACAAAACAAACAAAAAAACAAACAACAAAACCAGTCTCACTACACTAGAATAAACAAAAAGAATGGAAACTTGTAAAAACTTGGGAGATTCGGTATAGGGAATATATAGCAGTGAGTAATCTATATTAGCACAATGTATATGTTTTTTTAAAAGATGACAGATCTAAAATTAACTTCTCAGCTATTAAAGACAAAGACATCATGCAATTTGCAGGCAAAGGAATGAGACTAGAAAAGATCTTCCTGAATGAGGAAACGCAGACTCAGAAGGACATGCATGGTATGTAGTCACTTATAAGTGGATATTAGCCATAAAGAGCATGTTAACCGTTACACATTCCACATACCCAAAGAAGCCAGGAGTGCAGGGCCCAACAGAGGATACTCGAAGCTCACTCAGAAAGTAAAATGGAATGCACGATAGAAGGGATGGAGGGAAGGAACTGAGTGAAACAGGTGGTCACGGGGGAAAGGAGTTTGGGGATCAGGTGTGGGGAGGCAGATGAGATGGAGTAGTTGGGAAGATGAGGAGAGAGAACAAAAATTGGTGGGGGCCATCTCTGTGATAGGGGAGGCTCCCTGGAGTCTGTGGGCATGATCCTAGCTGAGACTGCTAGCAGCGGGGGATATGGATCCTGAAGTCAGCACCTCCTGTATTCAGGGGGTAATCCCCTTGAAGGCAGGACACCAACCCACCCTTAAAACCTCCGACCAAAAATTGGACTTGCCTACAGGTGGCGTAGGGATGAAGATGGAGCAGAGATTAGCGGAATGGCAACCAATGACTGGCCCAACTTAAGACCCACCCCATGGGAGGGAGCCAACCTCCGACACTATTAATGATACTCTGCTATGCTTGCAGAAAGGAACCTAGAATAACTGTCTTCTGAGAGGCTTTATCCCACAGCTGATGGATAAAGAGACCCACAGCTAAGCAATGGGTGTAGCTCGAGGAGTTACATGGGAGAGTGAAAGGATGGACAGAGGAAGCTGGAGGAGTCAAGGACACCACAAGAAACCTACAGAGTAAACTAACCTGTGCCCATGGGGCTTCACAGAGACCAAACCACCAACCAAAGAGTATACCTGGGCTGAATGTAGGCCCCTGGGCTGCTCTGTCTGGCCTCAGTGGGAGAGAAGGGCCTTAACCCTGATGCAACTAGGTGTGCCAGGAAAGGAGCCTAGCATAACTTTCTTCTGAGAGGCTATATCCAGCAGCTGATAGGAACAGATGCAGAGACCCAAAGCCAAACAATAGGCTGAGCTGAGTTTTGTGGAAGAGTGGGAGGAAGGAATTACAGAGTCAGAGGGGTCAAGGACACTACAAGAAGACTTACAGAGTCAACTAACCTAGTCCCATGAGGGGTGGCTCACAGAGACTGAACCACCAACTAAAGATTATACCTGGGCTGGATGTAGGCCCCCTACACATGGGCAGCAGATGTGCAGCTTGGTCATCATGTGGGTCCCCTTACAATGGGAGCAGGGGCTGTCTCTGACTCTGTTGCCTGTCTTTGGATCCATTTCCCCTAGCTGGGCTGCCTTGTCTGGCCTCAGGGGGAGAGGATGTGCTTACTCCTGTTGTGACTTGAGGTACCAGGGTGGGTTGGTACCCCTTAGGGGCATCCCTTTCTCTAAAAAGAAGAAGAGTGAGACATGGGGAGAGGGTGGCATGAGGGTGGGACTGGGAGGAGAGGAGAAAGGGGGCTGAGATCAAGCTATGATTAAGTAAGTAAGTAAGTAAAAATAAATAAATGAATAAATAATAAATAAATAAAATTAACTACCTAAGCTCTCATCTTTGGAAACTCAAGAAAGAGCAAATCAAAGGAAACAGAAGGAAAAGTAAGTTTTAGAATTGGAATCAAGCATTTGGTAGAATTTACTTCTGAAATCTTCTGCATCTGTTGCTTTCTATTTAGAATATTACTAATTCATCAATTTTGAGTTTTGGCACAGTGTTTTCAAACAGTTTTCCATTTCATCTGTGTTAACTATTTGTAGACTTGGGAAGTGAAAATAAGAAACCAACAGACCAAAACAAAATCTACAGTTATGTTTTTCATTGAAGAGAAACAATAAAAATTATTATCTGTTAGCCAGGCTAGATAAGAAAATACACTGAGATTACCCATTAGAAAATCAGAAACTGTGCAACCCAGATGGCCCTGGTTAGGAGAGAGCCCCAGGAAATGGATTGGCATGATGATGGAAGATGAAGTTAATAGAAAAAAGGGAGGCAATATAGTGGGAAAGAGAGAATAATTACAATATACTATGTATTTGTATAAAATTATCAAGTGACAAAATAATCTATAAAAATGATAGGAAAAAAAGAAATTGTTGAAGGGGTACTATTACAGAATCAATGGACATTTAAAAAATAGACAAACATTTGAAAAATCTGAGTCTGCAAATTTAGTAAACACAGATGAAATGGAGAACTTAAAAACAGAATGTGCCAAAAATCTGAATGGGCTGATGTCTTTAAATAAAATAAATCAACTATTCGTAATATTCTAAAATAGAAGGCACAGACAGATGAAAAAATTTCAGAAGCGAATTCTACCAAATGCTTAACAACAACAATGAAAAATACATATTTTTCTATTAAACTCTATGGCAACATTTCTAATAAACATATACACTAAAATACTCAAATATAACAAACTGAAAGTAACAATGTATGAAAGAACATATACTGTGACTAAGTGCCTACGCCAAGTTTTTAAAAATGGATTAAACCTTAAATAGTCAATCTAATCTACCAGATAAAAACTTTAAATCATTTAACAGCAAATGCAGAAGCCACATTACACAAAATCTAATAAACCTGTAAAGTCTTCCCCAACATGACTTCCCAAACATGAGCCTAACAAGGACAACGCTAGACATCCGAAACTTCAAATCCTCAACCCTACATAAAGAACTGCAGACAGCCAAGGAATGCTCAGAGTGGGAAAGAGTCTTCCTCAGTGAGGAGCACACCAACTGGTCATCCTGTACCAAATGGTCATCAAGTAACACACTGAGTAACAGACTGAGCAGGTTACAGGTAAGAACATGTATTTGGATATACATATACGCATGTAACAACAATCAATAAAAATAGGACGTCATGGATTTGAAAGAGAGCAAGGCGGGGTATATGGGAAAGGGAAAGGGGGAATGATGTGATTATATTATAATCTCAAAAATAAAAGAAAAATTAAAATGGCTAAAATGTATCGTATGAATGTGTTAAGTCTGTCAAATAAAATACGGAAGTAGCATACCTAGGTACTACTACTTGGTATTTGTTATGTATAAATCTGACAAAGTACACAGAAAAATCTATAAGGAAAACTGTAAACCTCTGATGGTATAAGTTTCCAAAGTATGAGGAGATACTACACTCCATGTTAATGGATAAAAAGACAATATTGTAAAAAAATGACAATTCTTCTCACCTTTGTACACAAATTTAATGAAACTCAAAATTCTGGTAATGTATGTTATAGTTCTCTAAAACTTGACATTCTGCCTGGGCTTCTACATAGAGGGTCCCAGGCCAGCATGGGGTGCATAGTAGCTGTGGAGCCACGGGAAGTCTCACCACTGCTGTCTGAAATATTCAAGATGGCACAGTCCCATGAAGGGTGAGTAATCAGGCATCGTCTTTGGAAACTGAACACAGCTTTGCAAAATGCTAGGTTTCAGATTAAGTTTGCCACACAGAGGTTCAGCCACAGGAAGCTTGGTGCCCAGAGTGGCAATGTTGAGGGAGTGTAAAATCTAAAGGGCAAGTGTGCTGGCTAGGTTTACGTCAATTTGACACAAACTATAGTCATCTGAGAGGTGGAAACCTTGACTGAGGAAATATTTCTATAAGATAGGGTTGTGAGCAAGCCTGTAGAACACTTTTAAAATTAGTGATTGATAGAGGGTGGTGCCATCCCTGGGCTGGTAGTCCTGAGAAGAAAGCAGGCTGAGCAAGCCGTGGGAAGCAAGCCAGCAAGTAGCACCCGTCCGCAGAGTTTGTATCAGATCCTGCCTCCAGGTTCCTGCCCTCTTGAGTTCCTGTCCTGTCTTCCTCTGATAATGGACTACAATGCAGACATGTAAACCCTTTCATCCAAAACTTGATTTTTTTTTTTTTTTTTTTTTTTTTTTTTGCTGTTTTGTTGCAGCAATAGAAACCCTGACTAAGACACTAAGACAGCAAGAGAGACATTAGTTCTGGAATTATGGATTAAATATGAAATGTCTGCCACAGGCTCATCGTAGACTGCTTCCTTCCCCACATAAGGGTACTATTTTGGAAAGTTCTGGAAATTTTACAGGGGAGGCTTAGTTGGAATAAGTAGATCATTCATTGAGGGATGGGTCTGGGTGATTGACAGTAGGTATCATTCTTTGCCCTTGCCTGTGTCTCTATAATGTTCTTGCATATCATCAGGTAACTAAACTCTTATGTCATATGTTCCTGGTACTTGAGCCGAGCCAGTGAAGTGAAGCAGCAATGGACTGACCTTCAGAAACCATCATCAAAACAAATCCTGACACAGGTCACAGTGATGCAAAATAACACACAAAACTGGTACTAGAGAAGTGGTTAAACATGGCTATGGCAGTACTTTACCTTTCAAACTGGCTAACAGAAGGAATTTGGAAAAGCTTTGAGAACTGTAAGCATTCTGAATACAGAGCTTAATTGGTGGTTCTAGAAGACCAGAACACTGACAGTAACTTTGAGTGAAGACTCAGCCCATGAAGTTTGACGCAGGGTGTTGGGAACTGGACTGAAAGCTACATGTGTTATATGTTGGGGAAAAATGTAGCTACAATTTCTCTATATCCTGATATTTTGAGTGAGGCTAGAGAGAAGAGCAACAGACTAATTTAGTGGAGAAAAGACAACAGACATTTGGGATACATCATGGATCTTGCTTGCTGGCTTTTACCCAGATTTACAATGAGAATATAAGTTAGTATGATTTTTTTGTTGTTTTGTTTTTTCAGAAGCTAAGTTCTACAAACTAAACACCAATGACTGCAAGACCATGCGATGCACAATGAAGCCAGCAGGTCCCCAGCCTTGCTGTTACATCGCTCATTTGGGAATTTCCGGCACTGTTGTTCTCTCAGAATCAACATACCCCAAGGACTTTGGGTTCTCCCTTCAAAAACTTCTCTGTCATTCTTCTCCACGAGTTAGAATTCACATATAAAGGCTGTCCCAGCTGCTGTGCACCATAACCAGCTTCTGGTGGGGGCTGTTCTATTCCTTGTATGGCAATCATGGTGACAGAAACGATGCTGGAAGAAGAAATGAAACAGCGTAAATTCCTGGAAACGGGGACTGGGGAGTCTTAAATACAATGTGACATAAAGAAAGCAATTGTCAAGAGAAGCAATGTGGATAGGACTGAGTTACATGTGCTAGGACCTACAAATTAAGAAAATTTCATGTCATCATTCTAGTTCATGATGTATTATTAACTCATGTGAGTACCTGCATATCTCCATTTCCTATTTTCTGCATGATCTATTTCTATGTGACATGTTTTGCTCTCAAGGTTTTGAAAGTTCTCGTCTCTGCTTTTGACAATTTCATTATGAAAGGAGAAAGTGTATTTGGAACACTTGTGTTTACAGAGCCTAGATTTTCATATTGATCCTCAGACTTTGTTCTCACCAACTGTTTTAAAATTCTTTTTCTGCTGCAGAAATTTCAAAATTATCAGTTTTTAAGGTCTCAGATTTCTAAATTTCTAAATTTATTTGTTTGTTTGTTTATTAGAGACTGGGTTTCTTTTTTAGAAATGTATTTATTTATTTTTATTCACTTTGCATCTTTATTGTAACCCCCTCTCTCCTCCCCTCCCAGGTCCACCTTATCTTCCTCCTCTCCCTCTCCTTTTCCTCAGAAAAGGGGAGCTCCCTTCTCATCTAGCCCAGCTCATCAAGTTTCGTCAGGACTAAGCCTGTCCTCTTCCCCTGTGGCCTGGCAAGGCAGTCCTGCCAGGAGAAAGTGATCACAAAGCTGGCAAGTGAGTCTGTGTCCAACACAGTCCCCACTTCCCTTACTAGAGGACCCACATGAGGCAGAGACAGTGAACTCAATGGAGGTGAGCCATGAGCCGGGCACAGGACCCAAGCCCCATTGTCCCCCATCCTGAGAAGGGCTAGGTGGAGCCAGACCAGCACTCAGCTTGGAGATCTATTTATTGAAGTCTTCATATTCAAACTTTCCCTTTGGTTCTTTTTTTGTGATATAAATCTTTGTTAAAATTTTTATTCATATTGTGAATTTTCTTATTGCATTGAATTGTCTGTACTCTCTTGTATTGTGCTGAATTCCTTAGGATTATAATACGGTATGAATTTATTGTCAGACAATTCATCAATTTCTGCTCCTGTGGAGTCTGTTATTGAGGAAATAATGTGTGCCCTTGGTCATAGTTCCTTAATTTTCAGTTCTTCTAATGTCCTTAAATTTGCGTCTGTTTATCTCGTGGAGGGTGTAGGGACAGCAGGGTGGTTGTGAAGGGGGATACATATTATATATTATCGAACAGGGATATTTCAACTTATCTACAAATGTTATCATGCCCTGAGCAGAACATCAAGTTTAAATTGGCAAAGTTAGGATAATCTCAGATCTAACACACAGCAGCTAGTTCATTTTCTCTTGTGAAAGTTATGAAAATCATAATAACTCTCACACACACTAACTATATTTAAAGTGTCCCCAGGGTAGAGTAACAAGAGGTAAAGGTGAGAGCCATGTGACAATCTACATTCCCTTTCTTCACAACTGACCATGTTAGAAAACTGATTTTTTAAAATCAGTAAGTGTTCTTGCCTGCCCTCCATTTCCAATCAATCATTTCTTTCGAATCTGTATTTCTTCTACTTTATCAAAGGAATTCATCATCCTATCTGACAAGCCTTAAACATTGTCTTGTGTTCGTCTGATCCTTGTATATTTAATCTTACCCTGCTTAAATAACCACGGTGGTCATTTTAAAATAGAAAACAATTTTAATTTATGTCTTATTAAGTGAAACTCATATTGCAACCTCAACCTATACTTTAAAAAAACATTCTTTTGATTTTGACTCTTTTGTTTTTGGAGTATCAAATATATTGGATATATTTCAGTTTCCCTACATCAACAATTTTGTTTCTGCACTGGAATTCTACACACATTCAGCCACGTCGCAGAAAATTTTTACCACATCCCTTTTCTGGTCTGTAACAAAATGTCCACTGTCATTTCTTCTTGGCGCTGTATCGCAGATGCTCTGCCTTCCTTCACACACAACTTCTTACCACACAAGTTACTCAACCAGCAACAGTAAGGAAGCGTTTTAGAAATCTCTGTGATTCCCACACAAGCAGAAGACAAAGACGCAATGAAAATAACAGCTGTTTCTTTTCGGTCCAGTTTAATGTGTACTTAGGTTTATTTGCCTTCTGCAACTATTTGTGGCCTATTTTCTTCCAGATGTACGATCAGAGGATTTAGAACGTGAAGAGTCTATCTGATTGGAACCACTAAAACCTAAATAGATTTAGGGAGAGAGCTGCAGCCACAAAGTGTTTGCCTTGAAAGCAGAAGAACCTTTGATCATCAGCACCCACATTAAAAAATTAAAAAGCCAACACAGCGGCACAAGTTTGTCATCTCTGTGCTGGAACATCAGAGAGATGGGTGGGTCACTGGTGCCTGCTGACACACTAGCCTACCCTACTTGGAAAGTTCTAGACCATAGAGAAACCCTGTATCAAGAAAAAATAGATATACATAACCTGAGAAAAGGCACTAGGGTTGTCTGCTTGTCTCCAAATACATGTACACACACGTTCACCTGCGTAACACATTCATTCAAACACGCATGCACATGCATGCATGCACACTCATACACACAAACTAAATAAAGACTCTAGCTCCACTTGCTTCAAGTTGACTTTGGAAATGACTGTATTTGAGGCCAGGCAATTGGGCAACACGGTATTAATCTTCCAAGAGCTTTGTAGCAGATAGTGCCTCCTTCTGGAGCCCTCTCAGGGGCTAAGAGCTCCTCTCCAGTGCATATTACCCATCCTTTGCTTCCTTGGGTTTTGGGGGGAATGTTACCTTTTACTTTCTTCCTAGTTTTTGATGAGAGATGCTTTTTGCATCCCAATGATTAATTATAGACTTGGTTATCCTGGAAAACTGAAATGACATGATCACAAAGCTTAACCATCGGTATATTTTCTTTACATTTCCAAAGGCCACCACGTCTGATAACTTTAGGCAAACAGCAGCCTGCGCATCAGCAAAGCAGAGCATGCCAAGCTTATAACCTCCATGGAATGGTAACTACCCCGTTACCTTATAGGCCTAAATAAGATTCCCTATGTACGCCTACGTGAGCAACCCATAAGACGATGGCCTTCTTGATAACAGTGTCTTCTTTGATTCACTGAGTTTCAAAATCAAACTTTGTTTCTTGCTCTAACACTCAAAGGTCATACCAAGCACTGGCTTTTTCAAGTGTCTGGCAATGAACTTGGGCATAACAGTGGTAGTTCTTGGAAAAAAGGTGGTTCTTCTGCGTTTACAACTTCCTTCCTAGTTACACTGGAAGCTTCTCCATAACAGACTCTGCATCAGCAGTGACTTCTGGTACGAATTAGCGTGATTTTCTGGGAAAGTGGTTCGTTTTCTGCAGATTTGAGACCAATGTTCCTTATTTCTAAGGATTTTGGCTAGTAAAACCACACAGCTACTCCTTACATTCACACCACAGAAATATACTTTTTAGCACAGGGGGAGTAATTTCCCCAAAGACAAAAAAAAAAGTATGTTTATGGTCTAGATATCTGTGCTCCAACTTTCATATTAGCCAAAGAATTGTGTATGGACATGAGAGATCTGCCATGGTTTTACATTATCTATGATATTTGCGAGTCTATTGGCAACTAGAGTGTCTTTGTTTTTATCCTTAGTACAGAGGTGGAAAAACTCAGGCAGCCCCAGTCCTTGTGACAGCACCAAATTCCCTGTGGATCAGCAGTGCCACCAGTCATGTTTCCTCACTTTTTTATGAACATCTCTTTCATGAGTCAAAATGATCTAGAAAGAATCAGAAAGATGTCTGTAGGGTCAGTCTCTCCTAGAACAAAATTATAAAAATAAAGTGGAGATTCAACAGATTAATTATTGTTTAATTGTTAATTAATAATCATTAATTAAAGCTTAAATTGTTTTTTGCACAAGATGATGTGGTAAATGTGGAAAAAAAACAAAACAAAAAAAAAAACCAATGATGACCTGGGATGAGAAAATCCTAGACTAAGATCCAATAAATATGCACTATAATTCAAATTCTTTCTTATAAATGTTCCTAGTCATTTTCCTCTTCTGGGTGTGTTCCATCTCATCTGAAGAAAGACTCACATGTTCTGGCTATTACGAATAAAGCTGCTACAAACATGGTGGAGCAAATGTCCTTCCTTATTGTGTACTTGAGCATATTTTGGATATATGCCTAGGAGTGGTATAGCTGGATCTTGAGGAAGCACTATTCCTAATTGTCTGAAAAAGCACCAGATTGGTTTCCAAAGTAGTTGTACAAGTTTATATTCCCACCAGCAGTGGAGGAGGGTTCCCCTTTCTCTACATTCTCTCCAGCTTGTGTTGTCACTTGAGTTTTTGATCTTAGCCATTCTGATGGGTGTCAGGTGAAATCTCAGGGTCGTTTTGATTTGTATTTCCCTGATGGCTAAGGACGTTGAGAATTTCTTTAAAAGTTTCTCTGCCATTCTATATTCCTCTACAGAGAATTCTCTCTTTAGGTCTGGACCCCATTTTTAAATTGGATTACTTGATTTGTTGCTTTTAACTTCTTGAGTTGTTTATATATTCTGGATATTAGCCCTCAGTCAGATATAGGGTTGGTAAAGATCCTTTCCCAATCTGTAGGCTGTCGTTTTGTTCTGATGACCATGTCCTTTGCTTTACGGAAGCTTTTCAGTGTCATGAGGTCCCATTTATTCATTGTTGCTCTTAGAGCCTGTGCTGTTGGTGCTCTGTTCAGGAAGTTGTCTCCTGTGCCAATGAGTTTAAGGCTCTTCCCCACTTTTGCTCAACCATGTTTGTAGCAGCTTTACTCTTAATAGCCAGAATCTGGAAACAACCCAGATGCCCCTCGTCTGAGGAATGGATACAGAAATTGTGGTGCATTTACATAATGGAATATGACTCAGCAATTAAAAACAAGGAAATCATGAACTTTGCAGGCAAATGGTGGGATATAGAAAAGATCACCCTGAGTGAGGTATCCCAGAAGCAGAAAGACACACATGGTATATACTCAGTTATAAGTGAATATTAGACTTATAATATATGATAAACATACCAAAATCTGTACAGCTAAAGAAGCTAAGCAAGAAGGTGGACCCTGGGTAAGATGATCAATCCTCACTCAGAAAGGCAAACAGGATGGACATTGGAAGAGGGAGAAAACAGGAAACAGGACAGGAGCTTACCACAGAGGGCCTCTGAAATACTCTATCCAGTAGAGTATCAAAGCAGATGCTAAGGCTTATAACCAAACTTTGGGCAGAGTGCAGGGATTCTTAATGAAAGAAGGGAGAGATAGAAAGACCTGGAGGGGACAGGAGCTCCACAAGGAGACCAACAGAACCAGGGGTCTTTTCTGAGACTGATACTCCAACCAAGGACCATGCATGGAGATAACCTAGAACCCCTGTGCAGATGTAGCCCATGGCAGGTCAGTATCCAAGTGGGTTCTCTAGTAATGGGAACAGGGACTGCCTCTGACATGAACTCAGTGGCTGGCTCTTTGATCACCTCCCCCTAAGGGGGGAGCAGCATTACCAGGCCACAGAGGAAGATGATGCAGCCAATCATGATAAGACCTGATAGGCTCGGGTCAGATGGAAGGGGAGGAGGACCTCCCCTATCAGTGGACTTGGAGAGGGGCATGAGAGGAGATGAGGGAGGGGGCTACAGCTGGGATACAAAGTGAATCAATTATCATTAATATAAAAATAAAATTAAAAAATAAAAAAAGACTCACATGTTTCGTCTTACCTTTACCCAATGACCAAACCACACTAGAAATCTCAAGGTCTCTTCCATTCATAGATTTCCTAAGAGGAGCGTAAGCCTAAGTGTCCTATGAGTGGTGGGCACCTGGGTCAGGTCACAGTCTTTCTCAGGATTAAACTAAGTGTGTTAGACTGGGGTCTCAATCTTCACCTGTGTTACCACACTCTGCATGTGGCAGATAGTTTCTTAACTAAGGAATTGTAAAAATAGCACATATTAGAAAGAACAAATATAGCAGAAGAAAGGACAGTCAGAATGCGTGAAATGATCAAAGGTGAAGGTTGTGATTTCTTTTTTTAAGAACCAAAACAGCTAAAAATTCATACATAAAAAGAACCCACTTTTTGGCTCTTACTGGCCTTTATTTGTTTTCTTACCCACCCCAGGAGTGTAACACAGATTGCTTCTCAAAAGCCCTCAAAGAACATGTCTCAAAGCAAACTCTTTCTTCCCTTCTCCCAGAATGGTGGTTTGTACCATGGGACATGCCCCCCTCCCTTTTTCCCTCTCTCTCTCTCTTTTCCTTATTTTGCTCCAGGTGTCCTAGAACAAGAGATGAAAAACCATCATCATAGAAGCCTAGGGAAGGTAAGTCAGCACCTACCTTTCTTCTCAACTGGAAAGCCTGTTTGTGTCAGATGAGGTCCAGACTCAAAAAATGTGCTTCAGGTTCTTGGTTCAGATAAAATGACCTGCCCACAGCCTGTATATCACCAAGTTTAAGTCCTGTATGTTTCTAAGTCGTAAAGGTTACTGCTGAGGATCTCTAAGAAACACAACTACTTCCCTTTTTATTAGCAGAAGTATCCGCTGATTCTGCATCCTTGGTGTGGGCATGTCACTTTTCAGAAATGCTCTAGAAAATTCAGTGGTTGTCACAGTCTTTCATACAAAAACAACAGCACAGCTTTCACTGAGCGCATCAGTGTTAGTTCATCCTTAATAGACGAAAGTTATTATCATAGCCCTTCAGTCCATTTAAAATCCCATTTCAGGCAATGTTGATAGTGTGCCTGGAATCCTATGACCCAGGATCCTGAGTCAGAATTGTGACTTGTGGCCTAAGCTGCATAGAGGGAACTCCTCTCAAAACAGCAAAACTCTAACCAATACCTGCTTAGAACAGTTTCACACATTTGCATGTTGTCTTTCTTGTCCGAAAAACCATCTATGCGTACTTTTCATGTGTAATTTTTATGAAATTCTACTGTTTGGGTTTTACTACAAACACCAGTCAAGTAGCAGCACATGGGTTACAAAGAGATAGTGCTTTGCAATTTTTAAGTCAGTAACCCTTTTGTAAACCAAAGAAGCATTTAAGACAAATTCTATTGCAATAGTTTTCTACATGATCTTGTCATCCTCCAGAATAGAGGAATGTTCATTGATAATGTAAAATAATCCTCAGTTAACATAAGAAGTATCAGTTTATTTTCCATTACTGTAAAAAATATTTGGTGTTGTATAATTTATATGAAAAATACATTTACTTCATTTAGATTCATTTGGAATCTAAAAAGCATACCTTGGCACTTGCTGGTTTGTTGGGGCGCTCTCTAGGTTCAACACAACACAGAAAATGGGAAAATGGTGAGAAAGTAGCTAAGAGGCTGATGTGGAAATGTGGGAAGATGATGATGTATTGATTTACCTCTAGGTCACATCTCTTCAAGTTTCCATACCTCCATATTTCCTCACTGAGATCACAGTTTCAACTCAGGAACCCTGGAAGGGCAGATGCATCCAAGCCACAGCAAAAAAGGGAAGGAAAGTGGTGGGCATTTTTGTTGCTGTTGTTCAATGATTTCTTAAAGAAAAATTTCCATATACCAACAATGTGCCATAGGTAAGATGGTATAGAAAGATACAAATAGACTCTGCTGCTGGGTAGTTTATAAGCTACTGGGAAATTTAGCCAAGTCAGTACACAAATAAACATGTTAAAATCCTGGCTAATCCGTGCTCTGCAAGGTAACAGAGAACAAGCTGAGTCATCCTCTGACCCCAGCCTTGGAGAGAAAGAGGAATCTTTCCAGAGGTGATGACATCCAAAAGGAGACCTGATGAACAGGATAACCAGATTTAGAGAGTTGAGGATAGACAGAGAGCTTGTGTACTGATTCTGTAGTTATTTCTTTAAAACTTTCACCAGCAGATGGAATGGAGAAATTGGGGTGGTTCTCCTATTCCAGAGAATGCTGGGGTGCAGGCTCTGTGTAGATTCTTGGGTGGCAATGAATCTCATCAGTGACTGAAGGTGCCTCGGTAGTTGAAGCCGTAGGTGTTTTGGCAAGGTTGGTGCAGCGATGGGGAACAAAGATTTTCTTAGCAGCAGTGGTTTGAGGATGTTTTATTCCCATTTTCCCCAAACTGGTGAGAATTAGCTGAAGTGACCCCTCTAAGGGTTGGATCTTACCCAAGCAGATGTAGTCACAGCAGTCCTAGAATATAATGCATGTGTTCTCAGAGTCACTGTAGATTGGGACCTTGGGCTTAGTAATTTGCAAAACTCTGTTTAGTACTAGAGTCATTAGGGTTGGAGCCTTCATGGTTTTTAATGAGCTAGATCCTACCATTCATACTCAATGGGCCAATTGGTAGTAAAGAATTGAGAAAGGAGATTTATCCCATGTGGCTACACTGAGAAAAACAAAGGGATCCAGTGAGCTCCCCTACCTCCAAGTGCTTTGGGAAGCAGAAATACATATCTAAGCAGTCCTGGTCCAGGCGTGGTTTCTAACGGTCACTGACTCTTCATTGTTTTGGCTATATTCTCTCCTGCAAGTTGGTCTGACAAATTGTTAGCAAGAAATCTCTTTCCAGGAGACACATTCCTCTTCTGCTGGCAGCTGGACTTCACTCTTTGTTCTGTCCAGTACAGAATTCATGAGGAATTTCAATTTACTGAGGTCCACCATCTCAAAAGTCTGATTGCCAAGGGAAGAGCACAAGTGTCTCTTTAGAACATTCCTCTTTTTTTCCAGGAGGGTCACATGTCACTGAAACTGGGGGTGTATGTTCAGTCCCTATGTCATGGTAACTAACAACCACACAACAAAGTTAGGGTCTATGACTCTGAGGCATCCCGGAAGCTCGGGAAACAATTTAATCATAATTATGGCTCTGGGCATAGGGGCAAAGTACCTACATGACCCTGGAAAAGAAGCTCAGGCTCACAGCATCAGGATATAACTGCAGTTTGGATACTAGGGCCATAAGGGCTCAATAGCAATCCAGTGATTCTTGGTCCTGGTGTGGTTGGACAAGGCAGGGATCCAAGACCTGTGAGGCCAGGTACAAAGGAATCTAAATTTTAGGACACACATGACACACTTCTGGCTTTGTTCAAGAAAACAGGGGATTCAGTGGTATGTCTGCTTACTCCCTGGTGAGCAGAGAACCACTGCAGCCCAGATTTCAGCCATTCCAATTACAGCAAGACAAGGAGTGCCTGATGTTTGATCTTGACGTTATAAGGGAAACAAATAAAACAATTTAAGAACAGACTAAGAACAAAGCTTGAGGACAGTTATACCAGCATTTAAAAAGAAGTACTCCTCTAATCTCACCCTTCTCTCCTTCCTTAAGACTCCCTGTGCTCTGCCCAAAGTTCGGCCTAAGTCTCAGCATCTGCTTTGTTCCCTTGTTGGATGAATCCTTTCAGAGGACTCTCTATAGTAGACTCCCATCCTGTTTCCTCTCTTCTACCACTTCTGGTGTCTATCCTGTTTGACATTCTGAATGAGATTTAAGCATCCTCCCTAGGGTCCTCCTTAGTGTTTAGCTTCTTTAGGTCTGCAGATGGTTGTCCTATATTATTCGGCTAATATCCACTTAGTGAGAAGAGAGGGATGGCATTAGAGAGACATGGAGGGGACAGGAGCCCCACAAGGAGACCAACAAAACTGAAAGATCTGAGCCCAGAGAGTCCTGCAGAGACTGATGCACCAACTGAGGACCATGCATGGAGAGGACCTAGACCCTCTGCTCAAATGTGGCCGATTGGCAGCTCAGTCTCCATGTGGATCTCCAAGTGAGGTGAGCAGGGGCTGCCTTTATCATGAACTGGGTTGACTGTTCTTTGACCACTCACCCCCGGTAATGCGGCCTTGCCAGGCCACAGAGGAAGAGGATCCAGGTAGTCCTAATGAGACTTAACAAGCTACGGGCAGATGGCAGAGGAGGAGAACTTCCCCTTTCAGTGGACTAGGGGAAGGGCATGAGGGGAAGAGGGAGGGAAGGAGGGTGGGACCAGAGAAGTTGAGGGAGGGGGCTTCAATCAGATAAATAATGAATAAATTATGGAGAAAAAAAAGACTTAAAAAGAAAAAAAAAAGCACTCCAAAGTAAGTAAGCTATATATATCTCAGCAGCAGCTGCCTTAAAAAAGGAGACAGAAAAGAGAAGTGAGAAAGCCAGGCTGAACACAGAGAGTGGTGGACACATCTCAGCCAGCCCTCCAGTTCTCCAGAAGAAGAATGCTCTGAGAGGTGCAACTGCTTGGCCCAACAAGGACACCAGTTTCCAAGTAGGCACCGTGTCTGCTCAGGTCCTGGGAGGGAAGAACAGCCAAGTTGTCCTGTCAGGGCTCCATACCCAGCATGTATGTGCTGTACTAACTCCTAACAGGTAAGGCTGTGTATACTGATTGAGGGATGCGGTTCCCGCAAAGGCAGAGCAACAACGGTCAGGTCATGAAGTTCCTGGTTTCATTAACATGTCCCCGACCCCACCCCCCAAAAAATATAGCCACCTGAGTGCACCGTATGACTTACATCTGTGTATCTATGTTCTTTTTCTATTGTTTCCATGAAAATATGTTTGTTTATTAATTGTTTTGCTATTTTTTGTAAGAAGAATGAGTTCTAAGAACTTCTTTTTTTAACATAGAACAACTTTATTATTTTTTTTATTAATTACACTTTATTCACTTTGTATCCCCCCTGTAGCTCCCTCCCTCCTCCCCTCCCAATCCCTCCCTCCCCTTTCTCCATGTATGCCTCTCCCCAAGTCTAAGAACTTCTTTTCAACCATCTTCCTGGAGTCATTACCTTTACAAATGACCCAGTAGTGGGGGCAGGGGGAGGTTGTAGGTATAAATTGATAGCTGCCATTCTACTATCATCTGAGAAACCCCTGAAGGGCAAACATATAGCCTAGCTATCCTCTTGTCTTGCTACCATAGAGACAACAAATACCTGAAGACCCAAGAGGTATCTATTCAAAGGAAGAAATAAATTTATTTTAGGATTTGGTGAAGGGTGAAGTTTTGGTAAACTTTAAATGTAGCAGTGATCAACTGACTAACAGTAAAGAGGAGCTCTAGAGGGGTCAAAGCAAGCCTGGCACAGGCTTGAAATCCTCAAAGAAAATAACAAACACACAATGTTCAACTTCAATATCCTTTCAGTTCTGCACCAAACGATACTCTATTTGCCCCTTTCTTTTTTAACCAGGAGTAAAACCTAAATTTCAGTGCCTCATTTTGTTGCTGAATTGACATAACAGAAAGAATAACTAAAGCTTTAAAAAAATCTGCAAGTATTACATATAGAACAATGTGTTTACTATATAATCCAGTCACATAGGACTATGCTATTTTTCTGTCAGTTTGGGTTCTTTCTGTAAACAAAATTGAATCCTGAGTTGCAATTTTAGTGCTAATATTGCAGCTGGATAAAAACATGTATAACTCAATTAATTATGACAAAATAAGCACAACTACATGGCTACTTCACTTCTC